CTTGATTGATGATAAGGCCATAAACCAACCATGAGTAGAAGAGCACGAGTGGCACTAATACGCTTATACAAATCGGCACTCATTATCTCTTCGCGAGAGTTGAGGCGCGTTTAACCGTAGAGAAATAGAAACAGTTTGCTTGGTCTTTCGTAATGATCCACTCATAAAATAGGCACTTTTTTCTAACGTTTTTCTTTAATTTCTTCTTTAATTTTATTTTTTCTTTCTAAACGTTTATTCCACGAAAACTACTTAGATATGCGTGAATGCAGTGTAAAGAAATATAAGAACTTTGTGAGTCGAGTACTCTCGCAATATAACTTTGATAGGATAAGAGTCGGCAGTTAAGCAATTGCTTTCGCACCGAATGAAATTTAACGGATGTTTACTTTCTATAACCTGACAACCATATAGTAATTTTTGGATCGAAGACCGCGCAAGCGTAGTCGCTCTTTTTCAGCCTCGCCGTCTCGCGTGCTGCAGTATAGTGTGTACAATCGTCAAGTACGCACGTTCGTTCGGGTTGAAAAGAACGTTGCTCCGTCGATTGGTTTTGTGTTTTGTCGTGTATTATGTCGTGAAGAATATCTTATATAAAATATAAAATATAATACGCGTTGTTTATGCAGTTTTAATATTTGATAGTAAACGTCGATCTCAAAATTGGATTTACACAGAAAATGTTAAGGCACGGACACTTTCGAACATTTCTGACTTATCTGTTACGTTTCTTGTGAAGTATCGACAGTTTTCGCGAAATAAATTGTTCTGGAATGACGCTTTAACTATTTTCTGTAATAGAAATTGCGACGTTATATCTATTTCACCGTTGCTTTTCCTAAGATATTAACGACGAAGGATATCGGCATATCTGAAATAAAATGAATCTCTTCATAGCAGTAACAACTATTATTTAAAATTGAACGAATCTTAATCGCTGGTAAGGCTATAAGTCAATCATGAGCAAAAGAATACGATTGAGACTGAAGTGCTGAGTCTTGATGCAGATCGCGATATAAATTTCGCGTATTCTTCTCTTCCGAGCGGTCCTCATCGAATATTTTTGCAACTTCTTTCTTGGAGCACGGATTTCTTTTTTACCGCAAAATATCAAATGACACCTTATGAAAGGAATGTAAAAGATGAACTACCGCTATCGCGATCAAACTAGTAATTTAATTCGCCAGTGAAATATTTAACATGCCGCACGAAATTTAACAGTTATTAACAGTTTTGTTTCATGTGAAATAACAACCGCGTAATAATACTTCGATGAATGTCTGCGCAAACGCAATGGCTTTCTTCAGTATCGCAGCATCCTGCGTCTCAATATAGAGTGTGCGTTCGTGAAGTACATATCTCGGACTGCGAACAAAAACATTATTTGATCAATTTTATTGTTGTATCACTTATGGAAACATTTCCGGTAAATTAGAGATGCTTCCTTGAATCTTCGAGAACAAACAGTGATTTTCAAATTTAATATTCCAGTGCCGCGTTAAGACACAAGCTGGTTCATACAGTTACCTTCCTCTATTAAATTTTTGAGAATTATCGTTTCCCGTCCTTTTGATTTAATCCGTCGTAATACGCTTCGCTGTGGACAGAAAGATTGTCTGTAATTTTTTTGTGAATATGTGAACTCGTTTTGACAGTGGGAGAATCCTTCTATCAAAAAATGAATTCTTCTCTTGGACAAGACAGAACTCACAAACTTATTCGAAAAATTATAAATTACTTTTCTGTTACCACGAGTGTACATTTGCTTGGAAAATAGTTTGCACATATTTTTTTTGATAATGTTAGAAACGTGTCAAGTGACTATTGCAAGCCACTACTTACGGGTTTGCGTAGTAAGGTTTTGACTGGAACCGAAGTGACAGTACAAAGAAATACTTTATATTTCTATCGTTTTATACATTATGTTTCAGTTGCTTGTCTGGATAAAAATATATTTTATATTTACTTTTTGTTTGTATTTTTTATTATCAACGCAAGTGCTACGTTGATTTCAATTTTGAAATGTGAATTAGAGATTTTTCAAACCATTAAATACTTCATTATCTTAGCTTGACAGATCTCATCTCGCCTAAAGTTAAATATTTTTTTCGTTAAAACGTGAAAGATATTACTAAATTAATTTTAACTTTGACATTTATTAACACCAAATCAAAATTATATCTATTAAAAATTTTCCTCCTACAACGCTATATAATTTGCTAGAAGATTAGTTGGATACATTCACAGGGAAAAGATATTTATTTTATATATAAATATGCATATATATATATATATATATATATATATATATATATATATATATATATAT